TGGATTTTCAGCAGTCATTCACTCATGATATGCACGTGAACACATGCAGATTTTGTAGAATTCTGGTATCTAATGATTTTTACTGCTGGTGCTCACAGAAATGCCAGCATGAGATCAGTGAAAACTGGCCATTTGTGTCCTTTTGTAACTTACTATGATCCATGAGACCATCAGCAGCAACAGAACATCTCCAGTGCAAGATACAGAAGTGAACACAGGTAAATTAAATGGAACGGCTACACAATACACCTCTTTGTGCATCTCAATCTCAATAACATTTTTAAGTTTACATTTTTTCTGTAAGTTAAGTCTTTACATTTGAGATTTTGGGGAATAGATTTAGAAAGAACATGTTATCAAACTGCAGTTTGGAATAGAAATTGATACTTACTTTTTAGAAACAGTTTTCCTACACATTTGTTTCAACTGGGGATCCTGTCCTGTATTTGCATAGGTGATATGCAATTCAGTTTGCCTAAGGAGTTGTACCCATTGTATTAAGCAAGCAAGGATTTGAAGAAATCTGCAGAGGATCAGATTCTAACAGAATTAAGTTGATTAAAATAATTTCATATTAAAGAGTAATTGCTATTCCAGAGTGAAAAAATGACCGTATGTAATACATCTATATTAAAAATGCAGTGGTAAAAAATAGGCATGATAGGATATATAGGATCTGTAAACCTTTGTGTTATATATATGCATATTTCTATAAAGCTACAATAAAGAAAGTTGGTAATCAGTTCTCCCTCACACTTTACTGTAAAGGCAGGGTTTTAAAAATCAAGTATTTGATTTTTTAAAACATTGAGTTTTCTTTAACTCTGTGCAATCTTAAAATTGTTTGTCTTGAGGAGCAACTAAGGAAGGACTGGTACACTGGAGAGCCTCATTGGAAGGGGTTGCTTACAGATGTGTAACTGCAAGTAATTTTCTCCCCTTTTGTTGTCCTGAAAAGTGAGATCTTTACCCAGGATGTAAGGCAAATATTCATACAAGTCAAGATATCCCTTTTATTGCAGATTTGTGCAAACCTGGAAGCTAGGTGGTATCCCAGAAAGCTAGCTTAGCTCGGTACAAAAGCTACAGAATATTTATATTGTTACAATTTAACAATAAAACAATAAACAACCCACCCAAGTTCACATTCATTGATCAGTGATTACTATATCACTTGCTATTAGTTACAGGTATTAAAATTAGCACGCATGCTCCTAGAAAGTGGGGTGAGGGGAGTGTAATTTGCGTAGCTCCTCAATTGAGTTGGTGGTCCTGATCTCCCCCTGCTGTCTTTGCCTTTACCCTAGTTATTGCAAAATGTTATTCACTGACTTCATGCTGGTAGCATTCTCCTATTCTTGTTATCTTCCTTGTGGCAAAACATTTATCAGTCCCTGAAGTCCCCTTTTTGGTTCCTCCTCCGGAGATTGATGATTAGTAATGCAAGTTTACACAATCTTGCTAAATTCACACAATACAGCTAAATCCACTTAATGGTTAACATTTATCTTTGGCTTATCACTTTTAAGAGAGAAATGTTATCCCCTAAAGATTAAAAAGCTTGTAGGTCATGACAGTGAGACTTAAGTAGTGGACTCAACAAATAGCCAAAAACAAATGCATGTCTGTTATCTGAGCATATGGCTGATCTCAGTTTTAAATACAATATGTATCATTTGCTTCTACCAGCATTTTAAATATTGGGATTTGTTTTTTCTAAGCACACTGAACTTGCTTTGTTTTTGGTAAATGGCATCTTGAGTCTCAGTCCCTAGATTAATGTGTCACAAATGCTTTCTCTTTTGTGATGCATACTAGGAATCACTAGGATCAATCAAGGTTTGTCTTGGCTCGATTGTCTAAGAAAGTACAATTTTGTAAAGCATGTATTGAATGAAGCCAAACCTTGCCCAGTGTCTTTTTTTTTCTTTTTTTTTTTTTTTTTTCCTCCTGTAACTTGTGAAATTTGAAGCATGTGCTTTTTGTTCCTGGTGATGTCTGCCACTGTTTTGTAACACTTGACATGGTAACCTTTGTTGTTGTATTTAGTGTCAAGTTATGGTGCTCAAAAGAAATCAAAATGACCCTACTGACCCTCAGACATCTGTAGTCTGTACAGATCTATAGATTAATAGTTTTATTAATTATTTAATTAATTTTAATTAATTTAATTATTAATTAATATTTATACAGCTTTATACTGGAGAGCTGTATAAAAATGTGCTTTTATATTTGCTATAAGCTTAGCTCTTACATGAATACATTTCTCTGTTCATATATCTGGTATTTTTCTCTGTTCTTTCCC